GGGAGCGGGGCCCGGAGGAGAACAGGTGCGCCAGGAAGAGTCCTGCAGGGGGCCTCTTCCTGTCCTGCCATGATCGCTCGGAAAAGCGAGAGGACGAGCAGGCGGCACCCAGAGCGCACCTGACAAAGGTCCGACTAAGGCCGGGAGCCCGAGCAGCGGCAGCCACGGCCAAGGACGCCCGGCACCCATGGAACCAAACCACAGAACCTGGCACCTGCACGGCATGCCTGGCGAGAACCAGCTGAAGCCACTCTCCCCACGAGCCGCTAAGGGGGAGAGATGAAAACGCGGCTCAGTGCTCGGTCTGAGAAACCAGAGAACGACCACGTCTCCCTCGACCTCCCTCAGGATATAGGAGGACACGCACATCCACGGTGACTAGTTACTACACACGGTTCTCCCCGGTGCCCAGGAAACGTCACCAAACACCCACTAAATGGCAGGCACCACAGACAGGCCCAAAGCAGCAGGCCTCACGGTGGCCGGGGCGCCCCGACGCCTTCCTGCCCCCTCACTGGCCTCGACAGGCCGACAGGCTCCCTGTCCAAACAGACCCCTCCTGCCGGCTGCGGCCCAGGGAGCCCGCCGGCCCCGCCCTGGAGACCCTGCAAGGACTTGCAATGACATCAGGTTCTGGGGGTCAGCACAGAGACGGGCCCACGGATCATTTGCAAACAGCAGGCATCCATACGGCGCCTGAGCCCCAGCCTAAAACCTGCTTTTAACAGAACTATTTCAACAAGAAGTCATTTTTTCAATGGCGTAAGTCAAACTGGTACACTACAAAAACCAAACTGAAAGACAGGTGGCCATCTGGAGGAGGCCAGTGCCCCCGTAGCACCCGGGCCTCATGAGGACCTCTTAGGAGGCAAAAGACACGCTGACCTTCCCTCTCTGCCCCACAGGCACCACACCCCGAGCCAGGGGGGCCCTGGCCCAGCCTCTCCCCACCCAGTCGAGGCCTTCCCAGGGCACACCTGGGCTGGGCCGCGTGGGGAGGGGGGACCCCAGGGGCCTCCTGAGACAGCCGACCAGCAGTGCCAGAAGCAAAGCCCTACAGAAAGCTTCCTGAGGCCGCGAGCTCTGCTGTGAAAGGCTCACATCAGCCAGGTGGCAAGAAGCCGCCGAGACCCACACCTGCCACAGCCTCGCTGCTCCGTAAGGAACCTTCCAGCTGGCACCCGGTGAGAGGCCGAGCGAGCAGGGTGGGCCGCGCTCACTGCTGTCCACTACGGGCCACGCAGAGTAGACACCAGTGATCTCCCTGCCACCACCCAGGCTCCACCTGGCTCCCCAAACAGGACGATCGGGGATGCGACACAGGACCGGCCTCAGAGGCCGGGTGGGCACGGTGACCGCACTGGGCCTCCTCAAGCGCTGGGGCCATCCGTTAACCTATTTCTACATCTTTATTTTCACTACTGGCGACAGAACTGCATTTCTGTGCATTTTTCAACCTTTCTGCGAAAACACGGCAGATAAGATGCCAACCACCCCGCTTTTGCCTAGACCAACTCCTCGAAGACACAGCCGTGGCAGGGGAAGCTCCCACAGGACACCTCCAGGCCCCACGGGCAGGACTCCCGCTCGCTGCAGCAGCAGTGGGCACGGTGACCAGAGACCGAGCTGCCCGGCTCGCTCAATTCTCCCTGAGGGTCGACCAGACGGCAGGAAGGGAAAGAGAGAGCGAGGGGAAGGGGGAGGCCAGG